GAGAGAGAGAGAGAGATCACCTTCCTCCGTTCAAGAAATGACAGCTTTTGCTCTCTCGTTGCTCATCCAAACACAAGAGTGTCGTCAACGATCTGCAAGCGTGCGGCAAGTATCAATCAATCCATTATCCGCTTCCAAGAAGAATCTCAGCTTACCCTGCGTCAAGAACCATATCGGTAACGACAAAGGCGAAGCAAACGAGAACGTGCGGAGGAGAGCGATGGTTCTTGTCAGGGCCGGCGTCCATGTGAAGCAACCGGCGGAGGAGAGCGGTGCACGCGACTAAGGGTTGTAGAGGCGGCTGCCGCAGCGGCACCTCCATCCCAGGGGCTTGTAGTCGGAGTAGTGGTTGCTGTAAGAGGACGGATGGTCGGTCGCCCTGACGCGGTCGGACCGGGCCGGAAGAGTCGGGATCTCGACCGCCGTGCACGGGTCGCATTGGTTGCACCGATTGTGGCAGCTCGGCGGCGTCGAGCCCAACCGGATCTTCTCCTCCATCAGCATTCCCTGTCGATGGAATGTCATCACCGGCGTTCCACCTTAGATAACTTCAGGCAGAGAAGAGTAAGAAAGCAGGAGCGAAGGATACCTCAGGAGAGGACAGCAGCGACCTAACCGCGCAGGAAGCAGGGAGGAGAACAAGAAGTGCTAACATGAGGCTTGTTGCGAGGAAAAGAGCATGGCTCAGTCTTCTCATTGTAATGGGACCATGTCATCTTGCCATGAGTGAGATCTAGAGAGAGAAAAAGCAACAAGAGTCTAATGAATGGGTGGCGTCTTGAGGTGGAAAGAGAGCGCCGAGTCCTGTACACTTCGGAGTGCTTCAGACAACTTTGCTCGAGGAAGATAGCAGCAACAGTAATGGTCTCGTCTCTGTAAGATAGGGAGCACACCAGTATGGATTCCACTCAATGCAAAGGAAATCAACGCCGAGGGCTCGAAGTCTCTATCTCATACCGAGCCCTGACTAAGAGGTGAGGGAAGTGATGGCGAGAGCAGGCTTAGTTGGGAGCCGGGTGGCTTCTAAGAAGAAATTAGTAGGCAACAATCACTCTCATTTATCAAGTGGGGAACGGGGAGAATTCATGCGGTCGTGATCAGCAGGTGAAAGGTCAAGTAAAGAGAAAAAGCTGCAAGGAATCTCATTTCCTTTTGGCACTGCGAGGAAAAAGATTAGTCAAGCAGATGGCAGGAGGGTGGCAGAGAGAGAGAGAGAGAGAGAGAGACATACATTTCTGATATGTCTTAATGAAGAGCAGACGACACACAAAATCTAAACAAGGAAAAGAGAGAGCGAAATATCAGCAGGTCAGGACAGAGAAGAGAAAGCATGGGCTCACCTTTCCATCTTCTTCTCATGTCCTCTTTCTCCATGTATCGTAGTCATCTTGACAATGCAAGGTGGCCGTTCCGTCGACATCAAGAGCAGCTGAAACTTTGCTGCGGAGAGGTATGGTCCAAGGAAACGCCTGCTTTCACCACCTCAAGCACAGGACAGGAGGGAGAGGCCGGGAGTGACCACTGGAAAAATCAGTTAATTTCTTGTACGTAGATGTTAATATAGGAATAGAAAGAATAAGGGAGGAAAAAGACAGTAGAGCATTAAAGAATACCCTGGTGAATAATTTCCAAGGTACATCCCATGGTGCAGTACCTCACATGGGCAGTGACACCCATCACATGGCTTGGCATCAAAGCCTGCAACCTGTAAGGTTGGTATGGTATGATTCCAATGAGACAAGATAAGAAGACAAGGAGCAGTAATAAAGGATGAGGTAGATTTGTCCCATGGGATGAAAAAAGGAATCATGATCTGATGCAGACCCTGGTGCAGCAATAAAGGACTCAACCCAATATATGTAAATGCATTAACTGTAGATAATACACCTGCTAAATCCTGCCAGTTACACCAAATTTTGTAATGGGCAAAGGCAATTGAAAGAAAAGAATCTTGAGTTTTTGGATGTACCTTTTTATCCCCTTTTTTCAACAAAACACACAATCATTTCACCTTCAAACCAAAACACTCTTAGGGTCCTTTGAACTTTATTTGCTAAACCTTTGGGATTATTAGTGTCTTAGTTCTCTATATTTACTTATTTTCCTTAGTAAGTCCAAACCCTTGTAAATGACAATCCTTAAAGAGTTTATTTAAAAAACAACAACAACAATATTTGAGTCTCTAGGAATATGTGAAACATGTAGCTATTTTTACACCTTTCTTCCTCTTTGAGAACCATGTCAGCAAAAAACACTTGGTTCTTTTTAGCCATATCCATTTCTGTGTTCAAAGTTTATTTATTTTAACTAATTAATCTATCTCCATCATCTTATTTATTATTTCATTTAAACTAATAGCCAAATTCACAGGCTTAAATATTCATCCTTTCTTTTTTTTTTTTTTTGGTTTGCAATGTTGGATGGAGGATCTTTGAAAAACTGCAAAAGATAGATGGTAAGGAAAAAAATTTCAAGGAGAAAGGCAAAATGAGAATAAAGCATAAAACTACAGAAATAAATGTTATTATCTTATTGTAGAATATATGTTAAAGAATTTAAAAACAATTTCGTCTCTGTGGTTGTTTTGACCCTACATGGTTGACTTATGGAAGAAATCACTAACTAATTTCACAAACTCATTTTTTTTTCATGTCTCATCCAGAAGGAATGATCTGATTGGTAAAGTTGGCAAAGGCTACAGCTCAAGAATACCTATATAAGCCTCCAAAGTGGAACCTGAGAAGGGCAGGTGGACCTACATCATTTATGGACTATGATCTGAGATAGCATGCAAATCACTACTCAATCCCCACAGAGTGACACTATTTTGCCATTGGTTCAAATTAGGGCTCCAGACGACTCTATTAGCATCACATTTTAAATTCTTTTAATTTGTTTGAATAACTGAGGTACCCACAAATTTAGCATGATGGCCTACTAAAACTTTTCTCCAGTCTGAATTAAGTATTAGCCAGAGATTGACTGCAATGCTCCAGCATTCCCAATTGTGAACAGTAAAGATAATTCACAGATGATGGTCCACAACACAAGCACAGATTTCCCTACAATAGAGAGGTGGATTATTTATGGCCAGCATAAAAAGCATCGATACACTATCCAATCACAGTTATCTTACAGTGATAACATCCATTAATAAGTTCCTATGTCAAGTGTACCTGGAGCACAACCAACCAGAAACTCTGCCAACTAACTTTATATGCAGATTGTAATGGATTCAGATATACCATCTACTTTCAAGCCATGCAATGCATGTGGAGGAGATAAAAAATGTTTAAAATAAGAGGAGACACACTAGTCTGATCTTGTTTTCAGTTAATAAGGCTCGATACCTAAGTTGACCTTAAATAAAAGGCTCTTTGGCATTTTACCTTGCAATTAGGCCAACAACTATGTTTGGAAAACAGTCATATCTAATTGTTCGCTTCAATATCTAAAATAGTTAAGTGCAGAGGGACATTCTGAATAAGCATTTTTTACTTTAGTTATCAAACAACAACCAATTCTGATGACATGCAAAAAGAACTTTTTATTTCCTAGAAATGCAGTGATGAATAACTTGCCAAATGCACTTACGGTTCAAGTAAAGCATGTTATATTTTGACATGATCTTTCAAACTGTGTCTAATCATATATATAGTCAAATCATCATATTTTGCAGCATGCCAGCTCAATCATGTCAACCACAATAAGCCCAACCCCTGAGAAGTCATCAGGAAATTGTGCAATAGTTACTGGCACATGCAGTTTTCCTAGCAAATCATGTTGAAAGAACAATAATATAACTTTTTTCTGCTTTCAATCACAAAAGGAAGAGGCACCACTAGACAATTATTTGTAATCCATAGGGGACTAAGATTGCTCAATAGGAGAAATACAATCCTGATGTCACAAATAGCCACTGAAATATGCACCTAAGTTGTTTGGAATCTTAGATTAGCTTCCTAGGTAATCATGACCACAACAGGGATGTTACTCTGCATCATTACCATCCAGTTATATATTGTGATGCCACATCAGTGCCATTCCATCTTTGCTCAAGACCATGGATTGTAGCTGAAGCTATGCAGGGAAATTTGCTTTGTGTCTCAATACCTGCTTTGTTTCTTTCTTTCTTTTGATTTTGGTACAGATGCTGGAACGGATAGTCCTACTAATACCTTCACGTTTCTCCTATTCCTTGTTTCTTTCTACTTTGTCATGCCTTACTACTCTGCATTCTGTTTTTAAGTGACTTTTTTTTTAATCTACTGTTTTCTACGCTGCTATTTTTCATGTCACCATGCATTGTTGTTTCCCACTCTTCATTTGTTTTTGACTCCTGTCATCTTTGTTAAATTCTGCCAGCTTTCTTTTCCTACATTTTACTTATTTTCTGAGAAAAATGAGGCCTATGTCTGATACTGCATTTCAGATGACTTTCATTTGTTTTGCAGTATGCCACTTGCTCTGTCTTTCTTGTTCTTGGTGCCATTCTAACCAGAAATGACCTTTCTTCTTGTATATATCTTTTTCCGACTGAAACCTAAAAGCTCCTGCTCAAATTTTGTTAATCTTTCTTTCACAGATGGTGCTGCAGTTATAAATCTTTCCTAAGTGGAGTAACATCAGATTATATTACAAAACAATTTTATCTCTCAGTTTGCCCATTTAATATTTGGTGAATCTTACATTTAGTTCTAGGAAAATATTATTTCATTGGTCACACTAGGCTTCTTTATTGTCTTCTTTTTGCATTTCCTAAGTGCACAGCTTAAAGCCGCAGAGAGTCCACTTACAATTAAGGCAATCAAAGCCTTTTGTTGCCTACGCACTACTGTGTAGTATCCTGTTGACTTCTTTAAGGATTGGAAAAAGCACTCTTTCATGTGAAAGCATAGACCATGTTGACTGCATCATATGTTATAAATTTAGAGCCATTCTAACATAAGCATCATCATCATTAAGTGCAAGACAGCATAAACTATCGACATAGGATCGGCTAGAAGCAAAACTGACAATCAAAAAAGCTTGCCATAGTTTACAATTAATTGGCACACAATAACTCTCAAGTTAATACTAATTTCCTAACCAAGGCAAATCCAGATAAAAGAAGAACTTCTTGAAAGAGTTACAAAGGTTGTTGGACAGCAAGCTTAATTCTGTTTGTTGTAATTTAAACTCAAAAAACCATTGAGCAATCCCAGAACACCAGTAACTTGAGGACACAGGTGGAAGTGGGGCAGGTACCCAAAAATTTACATGAATCCAAGCCAACTAGCAATCGAATTATGCAAACCCAAACCTGGATTCAACCTGACTATGACTCAAGTATCTATTTTTCTACCTGAACCCATCCCAAACTGATAATTAAAGGGCACTGAACCCAGTTTAAGCAGGTTCCACAATCGGTAGGCCTGGGTCCCTTAGAAAACATGATCAGCTGCCATTCCTGCTTAAGGAAAGGTAAAAGAAGGGATAAACAACAAACTATGTTACAGGGTATATGCTTATATGCAGCGCAAACTGCACAAATAATCCAATGAACAAATTTACTATTTTCCAGACCTTCTATTGAAGTGCTCTGGCTTCAGTCAAGATAGGTAGATCCCGAAAAGGACAAAATCTCCTTTATTCTTGTTCCTGAGCCTCTCTTAAATGTCTATAATACTTATCATAATTACAATTTATTGACCTGCATGAATACTCGTGATCACATGTCACAAATAATAACATTCAATTATTAAAGCATTTCATTGTGCAAGAATGGTGCTTTATATACAAGAAAATGCTCTACAATCCAAAGAAAAGTTCTATGGCGACAAAGCATAATATTTTGCTCGAATATGGCATGTTGTCTCATCAATCAGTTCCAAAAACGAACCACACGGAGACCTAAAGAACATGGATGAGAGTCATAGAAAGGCGATCGTACCCGAACCGAGTGGTCGCCGTCGCTGGCGATTTCAGCAACGAGCTCACGGCTCGGAGAAGGTTGTCTCGATGATGTCGTAGTCGGGTCCTGGAATAGCTCTCCAAGCGATCGGAGCAAGCTTCCAGCAATGGTGAGGAGCGGACGAGAAGTTGCCATGAGACGACGGTTTGCGAGCGGTAGGAAGGGGCGACGCTGTTCATTTCTGGGCTAATTTGTCGTGAGTGAGGCCCATATGGACCTATGGACCGCATTTTGATGACCTATTGAATGATGGAAGAATAATCCGATTTATAAAATGCTTAATGATAATATTTATTTTAAGTTTTCTTTTATCTAATTTTAGAGATAATTATATATTATCCTTATAATTAACTATGATTAGTATCCCAATCTTTATACTTAAAAAAATAATATTATGATCCCCATATTTATAAAAACGAAATATTTAACATCAATTCTTCTTATATCGTTAACTTCATCGATAGAAAAGATCATACATGTTGTCACGTACAGAAAAAAAATATAAATAAAATAAAAATAAAAAAAAATAATTTTATTAATTTTAAATTATAAATTTTATATAAAATAAAAAAAGGATCGATTTCCTCTTCTCTTCTTTTTTCCAATATGCTCGCCCACCGCTTGTCGCACCTACTCGCTCGTTGCTCACCCCTCGCCCACTGCATCTGTTTGCCCATCGCCCCTATCATCCTCACCTTGGTCGACGGTAGCACCCTGTCATCCTCGCCCTAGCCGATAGTGGCCTCGTCATTGTCAGTGAAGCTTGCTGCCTATATATGTCATATGCGTCTTCACTTTTATCACTTTTATAAGAGTGGTGAAGAAGATGAAGGTATTTCTACATGAAGCTCATCTCTGTAACACAATCTAGAGAAGGGTAACAACCGAGGCACCGCAACGATCCCCTTATTTACCGAGATTGATCAGTTTTTAGATCTTATTGGATATAACACTGACAAGTTCTTACGGTTGATATAGATAGTTTAAAAATGAATCAGATTTATGGTTTGGTACATTTATATTACTCGGCAACTAGACTTCATCCTCCTGAATCCTTCCACTTTTACATAACCGATGGATTAGAAAATTATTTTAGTGTCAGCTTTGTCTGTATAAAAGAGAGATAGATAAGGATGTTAACTCATGCAGATTCCCTCCTTGCAAAGAAGAATTTAGCTTTCCCAGTTTCTGAGTTTGGAGGAATAACAAGATATGTATATTTCTTGCAAAGGTTTTACTGTAGAATTTATAACATACATATGGCTGTGAGAATGTTAGCTTAGAAGCTTTATTGTTTCTTATTAATATAGATTTCAAGTAGCTAAAAATAGAGAAAGCTTTATCTCAATTTCTTTTTAGGTCTGGAATTAGTTCAATCACTTACATCCCATAGCTCTTAAAAACTGATCTATCAAATCATGAATCATGAGTTCTTTCACAACCCAGTTTATATGCAAGGAGATCAAGCATGCAAATCGATGCCAAGGAATTTGCTTTAAGAACAGCCATCGGAGATAATATACAAGTTCTTCAGTATTGCAAGTTTTATACTCAATTTTCTTTAATAACATAAGATGCAATCATTTCACTCTTAGAGATAATATACATGTATTTTAACATTGTTGCAAATCACTGAAATATATTGACACCAGGGGACTCCCAAGCCAGCATCATATCAAAAGTTAATTGGTAGAACTCCTTATCGGCCGAATAATCAAATCGGTCTCTTGCATTTGTAGTAGGAAGTTTGACACGATTAGGGAACTTAGTCTCAAAAGAATGTTGCAATTTGCCTCTTGAAATGTGAAGAATCCTATAGTTATTAGGTGCTTGCTGTTGTTAACATCTAAGCAACAGATCAACAATATTGATTTACACAATAACTAATACAACTAATGCTGCCAATGAGTCAGATCTGATATAGATAATGACACATCGACTTACAAACTAAAGAACTTCAAGATTTCATTAGCACTTGTTGGAAGAAAGTTACTTACAACATGACGGAGCACAGGAGATTGCTTCAGCATTCAAAGATCATATCGTTTGACTCGTTTGACTAATTTATTACAACGATGCATGCCTGTTATAAGGAATATAATGGTCAAATTTAGAGAGATGGACGAGAGCATAGTAAGAAGAGGAAACCATATAATAATGCCTATTCATCATACACCACTAACGGTCGGAGACAATAATTTCTAAACTTCTTTTCATTTTTTTCCCGTTGACATTGTGACAATGCAAGAAGAATCCAAATCATATACATATTCTCGATTCTTTTCTTGCCAGAAAGAAGAGAATTCCATCAAGACGATGAGAAGGGAGATTAGATTCATATGTTGCGTAAGAACGAGAATAAATCAGCATATTCTTGATTGTTTCATCAAAGAAAAAAAAAACCGCAGGCCAACACGTTGGAAAGAAGAGAAAATCAATCTTTTTTTTAATAAAAATTTAATAATTTAAAATTAATAAAATTATATTTTTATTTTTTAGTACATGTCAACATAATAAAATTAAACAATATAAAAAATAAAATTATTTTCATAAATATAAAACTCTTAATATTATTTTTTAAAATATGAAATACTAATCATAATTAACATAATCTATAATTACCTCACATTTAGAATTGATAGATCACTCTTAAATGGGAAGATTCACACATTTCAAAACAAAGCTTAACGGATAGAATGAGATAAAAGATCACACAAACACCATAGACACGTCACACAAATAAATAGATTAAAACAGGTCCATATGTCATAAACAACATGACTGAACCACCAGAATATATATAGTCACGGATGGGAGAACATGGCTTTTAAGTGCAAAAGCAGCATCCAATATATATAGTCACTGAAGGATCTTCCAAACCACTATATCACAAGATGAAGGGAGGTAAATGTAGATGACAATCAATTGTAATTCATATCCCTATAACCCCCATCTATAGAAATAATTTTAGGCATTTAAGAAACAAAATTCACTCAGTCTGAGAATGTGCATATTCCTATAGTCATGTCTCCACTGCTAAACCTTTCAGATAAGTAATGATACTTACCGACGATAAAAGAATTACACATACCATGTCCACTTGAGATGTAGCCACAAATATTAGTCAAAAAAAGGGGCAAAAATGATGCAAAACATCAGCCCCAAAACACAATAAGATTCTTCACTAGTCAGGGATTTTAAAAAAACCAAACCTGAATATCATAAGTTATAGGGTAATTCCATAAACTCAAGGCAAAGCCACCAGGACCTATGACTTATGAGCTCAATAAAATAATTATTGTAACCGAACTACAATGACACTTGTTAAAGCTAATGTCATATTCCACCTATCCAAAGAACACAAATATGGATATGAACCAAGTCCTGTCTGTATCCATGTATGCAAACAATCTAATGTGTTTCAAGCATCAATCAAAGTAACGATATAGCACAATTAAAATTCATTCAAATAGAAATCGTGTTATCTTCTCATTACAGTTGACTTGAAGTCTTGTTATCTAGTAGATATTATTGTCAAATTGTGGTAATAGCTTATTTATTGTTTGTCAAGCATTCGATTCACGTTATGTTAAAAGATAATCCACCTTAAATACAGCTTATATTTACATGTATCTAAAAAAAAAAATGAATGTCACATCCTAGATATTTTTTTTTCAAAATCACATCTTTCTACACATTTAGAGCCAAATAGATAAATATCATTTTATTCATAATTTATAAATATTTATTATAATTTATTTATTCATCAAATTACAAGTTGAAAAAGTAAACATAACGATGTCAACTCGATGAATCATCTAAGTGACTCTACCTAACGAAAATCAAAAACAAAAAAAATTCAACGACGCCAAATAGAAACCCCAAAATTAACTCAAAATGAATATATGATAAAAAATCATTCATCCTATTGGCATATATCAAATGCCCGAAGGAGCACTTCCCAACAGTGGATGGAGAGCTTTATCCTACAAGATGAGTTTGTGTTCTCCCAACAACGAATAGAAACAAACTCATATCACACTCCCAATAATGGATGGACTGGTGTCACTCACTCGCCAAAGTGGGAACATGTTCCTCCCAACAACGGATGAAAGAACCACCCAACCGCTACGTCTGACAGCCCGCTAATCCCCAAAGGGAATTGCCCTACCTGCCCTAAGCAGGGTAATAACATTATCTTATACTAGTCATGTCTATGTCAGGATGAAATAACACATCAAAAACATCTCTTTTAAATATCATTCATGTCAAATACTACCAATAGCTCTCAATTGATTTGAACCCTAGTTCAATCGATCACATTAAACTAGATTTAACTAGAACCTAACATAGAACCACCCTAGACTAGTATACTTTGAACTAGATTAGGTATGGAACAACATTAAACTCAATTTAACTGGTATAAAACAACCCTAGACTAGTATAATTTGGACTAGATTATGTTTAAATTAGATAAAACTATCTTAACTAAGTCAATCAATTAAGAATCACCTTGGATCGATCTAAACTAATTAAATCTACTTTAGTTCAATCAATGTTTGGACTCAAATTCTATAATAATATTAGGCTAAGTTGGGCCAACCCATATACCGGTCATGTGCACTACACATGATTGCGTATGCATCACACCAAGTTGGGCTAACCTTAGCTCATGGATTGGTCATATGCGTCGCATATAACTACCTACATTAGGCTGGGTTGGGTTAGCCTGCGGGATAAGGCCTAACCCGTGGGTTGGGCTAGCCCTAGTCATCAATATCGAATTATGATAACATATATTCACTGATAACAATACATTAAAACATAACAACAGATTAAAAAATAAGATTGAAAGATAAACTTCAATACAAATAAATGACATTCTTAATTCAATAAGAATTAGAAATCATACTTTCAATACATATAACATGAATAATTTTAATATGATCTAATCAAACAATAAAATTCTAAATCTTAAAAGGGATCAAAATTTTCAAATAATATATTATAATCTAACAATAAAAATTTTAACATTTAAAGAATTAAGAAATATTTTTTAAATTACTCGTAGTATATTTTTATCCAGATAAGATTAAAAAATAAACTACAATAAGAAAAAATAACATTCTTAATCCAAATATAAAAAATCAAATATCATGTATTCAATACATAAAACATGTATAATTTCAATATGTTTAAATCCAAAATAAAAACCTTTAAAAAGATTGACACCCCTCATTTTCAAATTTTCGTAAAAACCTTTATGTTTTAATCCAAAATAACAACCCTCATTTCCGAATTTTCGTATAAATTTCTAGTGATAATGTATCTATTTTAAATTGACAAAAGAAATAGAGTATGAATCAGAGGTAACTTATTTTTAAGATTTGGGAGATTTGTTCAAAAAAAAAATCTGAGGACCTATATGTAAACCCTGAGGACCTAATCATGAATATAATAAAAACAAGGACTAAACTGCAAAATGCACAAAAAAATACAAATCCCACCGTTTAAGCCTCTCTGCCTTCGTTCTTAAGGAACAAGAGAAGGCAGCTACGTGGATGATCAGGGAAAGAAAGAAAGAAGAAGAAGAAGAAGAAAAAAAAATTGGGGCTTTAAGGTTTCTTGTTCAAATCTTCTCATTTAGGGTCAAAATTCTCAAAGGCAAGTGTTCTAACCCCATCCTACAGAAATATTAGTCTCTGTTCTTATGTTGATTCAAAATAATCTGAAGGATTTCTATTTAGAAACTGATATGTCTCTCTTTGGACATAGAACCATGGATTCTGAAATTTTTCGATAAACTGACCCCTATATACGGTTCCAGCTATAATTTTTAGTACGAAATGCAGATTTGAGCAGGACCTAGTTTGTTTGAAATTAGACTCTTATATCTTTCTTTTAACACAAATTTTGAAGATTTTGAACACCGAATACTTACCCAAACGTCTGTTTCAAATAAGCCAATAGATGCTGCAAAACAGGGATCAAAATTTCTGACCTTTCGGTACTAAAATACCTATAAATTCCTATTGAAAATTCTGATTTGTACAAAACTGATTCCATTCGAAACTAGACTTGTGAACCTTTCTTTTGACGCATAGAGTGATAAATTTGAAATTCATATGCCTATCCTGTTATCTGTTAAACCCGACCCTATGAATTCTGCAGAACAGTGATTTTGTTTTGACCTTTGATTACTAAATCCATGGTAACTCCGTGTTGGAAACCCTGTTTCATATGAAATTTGTTCCATCAGAATATAGATTGATATATTGTTCGACCATAGCTTTCTTGAGGGTATTAGAGCATAATTGACAATATGAAATAATTATTCAATGTGCCTCTTGATTTCTGCCAGAAATCGAACTTTGATCGAGTTCGCATCTCTTGTTTTCATTCGCTTGGGAATAGTTTTCAATCAGTTCCCTTCACTCAATTGAGGCTTATACTAATGCTTGAATTCTCATTTGCTCTTGTCTATAAACTATTTCCATTCTTGAACATATTGTGTAACTTTTATGCTATATCACACTGACTCGTAAAGGCACATGTACGTTTTGTTGTTCGGCGTGTGCTTCCGATATGTGCTATTTATTGTTCATACTGCCTTTTGGATGCAACAGATAATAGGGTAGGCATTTAAATTCCAAATTTTTCAATCTATATATCAAAAGAAAGGTCTACAAGTCTAGTTTCGAACGAAATCAGTTTGGTACAAATCAGAATTTCCAACAGAGACTTATAGATATCTTAGTATCGAAAGGTCAGAAATTTTGATCCCTGTTCTGCAGCATCTATAGGCTCATTTGAAACAGACGTTTGGGTAAGTATTCGGTGTCCAAAATCTATAAAATCAGTGTCAAAAGAAAGATATAAGAGTCTAATTTCAAAAGAGCCAAGTCTTGCCTGAATTCACATTTGGTGCTAAAATTTATAGCTGAAAAAGTGTATAGGGGTCAGTTTACCGAAAAAATTTCAGATCCTTGGTTTTATGTCCAAAGAGAGAAATATCAGAGTCTAAACATAAATCTTTCAGAATCAATATAGGAACATCGACTATTACTTCTGTAGGATGAGGTTAGAACACTTGCCTTTGAGAATTTTGGCCCTAAATGAGAAAATTTGAGCAAGAAACCTTAAAGCCCCAATTTTTCTTCTTCTTCTTCTTCTTTCTTTCTTTCCCTGATCATCCACGTAGCTGCCTTCTCTGGTTCCTTAAGAACGAAGGCAGAGAGGCTTAAACGGTGGGATTTGTATTTTTGTACATTTTGCAGTTTAGTCCTTGTATTATTATATTTACGATTAAGTCCTCAGGGTTTACATATAGGTCCGCAAATTTTTTTTTTCTTTTTGAATAAATCTCCTAATGTTATGAATAAGTTCTCATATTCATATTTTTGTTATTTTATCAAATTTAAAATAGATACTTACATTATAACTAGAAACTTATACGAAAATTTCGATAACGAAGGATGTTACACTCTATCGATGAAAAGATGGGGATAAACCTTTTTCATTTCCTCCTCTAGCTCCCAGGTTGTTTCCTCTCCAGAATGATGATTCCAAATTACTTGAATGATTAATTTATCATTCTAAATTGCTGTATAAATTTTTCAGGATAGCCTGTCGCTCGCTTAAATGATTAAGATTGGGCTGAGGCAGTGGAGAGCTAAAAGACTTTGGGCAGATCTTTAATAGTATATATGTTTTTGTTGTATAAGTACACTCTGCATCTAATGAAATGTTGACGATGAATTTAACCTTGTGGATTTTGTATAAGTTTAAAAGACTCCTTTTTATGTCTAGGATTTTGGAATGTTAAGTTTAATTCGTGTAATAATATTCGTGTAATAATATGAACTTATGGTAAATGTTGGTTTTGTGATTGTATAGACTCCCATACTGGTGAATTTATGTCGTGGTTATTATTTTGGTGAGTTGGGTTCAGATTTTATGAATCATCGAACGATATGTTGTATGTTTATGAACTGCACAGGGTTTATAAATTTGTAGATTATAGAGGTGAAATTTTGATATGAATGTTTTCTTAGTGACCTCAAATGTGTGATTGGAGGCTATCCTTTGAAACTTGAAATTTTGGCTTCAATTCCTTTTCTACTTCATTCCTCAAGTAGTTTAAATGTGGATCTCGTAATTATCCTTCCTTAATTTGTTGAATAAGATCAGATTGCACTTGAATGGAGGCCATCAATATCATCGAGTCTTGCTCTTTCCCCGAAGCTTTCAAATCAGAATTTTCTTCTAATAACTTCAATTGCTTCACCACCAAACTAGCCATAAAACTTGTAGATTTTCTACTAAGTGTATCAGCAACAACATTGGCTTTGCTCGGGTGATAACGGATGGCACAATCATAATCCTTTAGAAGTTCTATCCATCTTCGCTGCCTCATGTTTAACTCTTTCTGAGTGAAAATATATTTTAAACTCTTGTGATCAATAAAGATTTCAAATTGTCGACAATACAACTAATGTCTCCAAATCTTTAGAGCAAAAACAATTGCTGCCAATTCCAAATCATGAGTTGGATAATTCACTTCATAAGTTTTTAGTTGCCTAGAAGCATAAGCAATCACTCTCCCTTCTTGCATCAAAACACATCCAAGGCCCTTTCTTGAAACATCAGTATAAACTACAAATCCCTCACTACCACTTGGAATAGTGAGAATAGGGGCACTAGTCAATCTTCTTTTTAACTCTTGAAAACTTTGCTCACAATCATCACCCCATACAAATTTCACATTCCTTTTAGTGAGGTTGGTGAGAGGTCGAGCTCTGATACAAGGACCTATATGTAATGATAGTCAATAAACCTCAAAATATAATTTAACTCTTGAAAACTTTGCTCACAATCATCACCCCATACAAATTTCACATTCCTTTTAGTGAGGTTAGTGAGTGTAACATCCCTCATTTTTGAATTTTCGTATAAGTTTCTAATTGTAATGTAAGTATCTATTTTAAATTTGATAAAAAGGCAAAGTATAAATCTGAGAACTTATTCATAAGAGTTGGAGGATTTGTTAAAAAAAAAATCTCAGGACCTATATGTAAACCTTGAGGACCTAATCGTAAATATAATAAATACAAGGACTAAACTGCAAAATGCATAAAAATACAAATCCTACCG